GGGCTCACCTGCTGCTTTTCCGGGGCAGGGGCAAATCCTTCTGGAAGGCAAAGGAGCAAAAGGATAGAGGTCAGCAGGGACCAGCAGCCACTGCCCAAAGTCCTGTCAGCCCCGTGGAGGGGCAGATGTGGTGTGGGACATGCCCCTCATCCTCATCCTCATCCTCATCGTCATCTGCACCCTTGGCCATGAGCTGAGGGCTGGGCTCCTAGGGGAAGAGGGTACCAGAGTGAGTGATTCCTCTCCCAACCCCCAGAGACCAGCACAGGGCCCCATATAGGACTCCTGAGTTGGCCTCTCAGTGTGTTTGCGCAAATGAAACAGGAGTCTTTATTTGAAAAATATTTCTTGAGCACTTACTGTATGACAGGTCCTGTGCAAGGCATGGGGGACACAGCTGTGAATGAGACAAAAATTCCTGCCCCTTTGGGACTAGTATTTCAAGAAGGGAAGCAGAAGTCTGGACCCTTTTCTGAGAGCACTAGGGAGAGGGGGCATCACCTTCCAGCCAGTTCTGTGTCCACAGGCTAAGGTGAATAAAAAAGATTGGGTAGGGCTGGGGGTGGAAAGATTCAGGTGAGGGTTTCAAAAGCCCTTTGGTGGGGACTCCAACAAAGGAGAAATGAGGAATGTTCTAGGTTCTTTCTAGGATCTCTAATAGCAGAAAGCCCCAGGTTCGAATCTCAGCTTTGCCATTTATAACCTTGACAAATGACCTTCCAATAGTCCACGCTTTCTAGAGGATTCTGTGAGACGATGAATGGTGACTAAGGTCCTAGGAACAGGAGTTATTGTGGATGGGCATCCTGCATGACAGAAGATAGGCTAAAGGGACTCCACACTCCCATGTACAGAGGACATGGTCGGGGTCCTGCCCTCCTGAGCCTGGGTGACCAGAAATCCATGCCAGGTTTTCCCTCTGTCTTTGCAGGATCCACTTGAATGAGCCGCCCCCTTGGACCAGCCGGCTAGGCTAGGCGACCGCAATGGCCCAATCAAAAGCAAAACTGGATTTTCTGGCCACGGAGCCCGGGACTCCAGACTTGGGTACACTAGGCCTCCAAAGGTGAGCCCCAGGGGGACCCTTAAGTGCCGTCTAGAAAAGTCCTTGAATCTAGCCCCATCTGCTAACGTCCCTAAACATTCTAGGGTCGAAGAAAAGGTCGATGTGGAGCAGTAGAGGATTTAGATCCTTGGCGTCAGTGTAAACAGACACCTCCTCCATCCCAGGTGCAGAGCCACTTTGCCCAACGGATTCTGCCTCTCCTCAGGATTAATGGACCGCCCTCTAGACAGGGCATTTGAATTTAGGTTGTTCTAAGGTCCCAACTGCACACAGGGTACCCTTGGGCGCTCCATGGTTTTGGGACAGCTCCTAAGGAGTTGCACCAGTGTGTGAGACTCTAAGCAGGCAGCGAAGTGGTTAACCCTGCCAAAACGGAAGAGGTTTGGGCAGGACTTTGGAGGGGTAGCTCGGCCTAGAAGAAATTTGGGGAAGGGTGGGTGGTGAGTGGGAGGATCTGAGGCTAGGGGAGGGGTCTTGCGCTGGAGGCCGAAGTCCCGCGTGGCGCTGAGCCAATGGGAGTCGGCGTCGGCCAGGGGGGCGGGGACACACCCCATGCAGGCTCCGCCCCTTTCCGCCCTCTTCTGGGGACCCGACGGCGCGGACCCAATCTGGCTTCAGCACTTGCTCTGGCCTTGTCGCAGCTCTCTCCCTTTTATCAGAACCCATTCTCCTAACCCAGCCCTGGGAAGGGGGAGAAACCAAGGAAGACCTGAAGAGCTCATCAGGGCTCTGGTTAAAAGCAAATTAGCTTTCCACCTCAGGTCTGGCTCCAGCATCATCCATATGCCTGGGAAGTGCTTTCTGCTGTCTGAAATTTCTGGACGAGGCCCTGGGTGAGGGTTTGAATCCTTTCCTTCTCTTCCCAAGCTCCAGACTAGGGATGTAGCCTGAGACCGGGCCCACTCTAGGCTTTACATAAACGCCTCCAGATTACCTAGTTCGGGACTGGGCTTCAAGGAAGCATAGAAGAACCAGTTGCCAGGCAGGACTCAGAGTGAAGCTTTGATCAATTTCCTCTCAGGGGTCAGTTTGGTGGCAACAGCCAACCCTCGTATTAACCCTTAAAAGTGCATGCTGCAGGCAGAAGAGAACTCTTCTCGGCTTCAGAATTCCCACCCATCTAGGAGGTGGGAGTTCCTGACGCCTGGATTTGTCCCCGCCTTTCCCACGCTCCACAACAAACCTCAGTATCCCACTCTGTGCAGTGGACCCATGCCTCTCGCGCCTGCGCAGCATGGAGACCAACATCTTCTAAGGCTGCAAGGAGCTAAAAATCGCTTCCGCCCACCTACAAGCTGGGCTGGACTTGAGGATCGCGGAGTGGGGGCGGGGGGAGTGTTGTAGTGGAGGGGGGTGGAATGAAGAGTGAGGAGGGAGGCTGTCTAGGTGACTGTCCAATTAGGTCAGTAGGAAGAATCCTGGTGGCCGAGCAGGTGCGTGGAGGTCGCAGGGGGTCTTCATGCTTCAGAAAGGGACTCCTGGGGTTGTGAGGGGCAAGGCTGCGGCAGAAACATGTTTACCGCTGCTGCGGCGCCGACAGCCCCGAGGGGCGCGAGCCCTGGGACAATAACTTTGCTCTGCGCCCCTTCAGCCTAGCCGGGAGCCAGGGCAAAGACCTCACACCAGCCCCCTTCCTCTCTGGCAGGCCAGGAGCCCCTCGGGCTATCCTCGAGGGGGAGCGCTAGGCTACATCCCCTCTGTCAGATCCCTGGATCTCCGGGCGGCGCCTGAGGGGCGGGGTCCCCAGCGCGGCGGGACGCGTGGCCACTGTGTTCCCCGCCGGTAGCGTCCTGAAGCCTTGCGAGTGGGCGCCTGGGCCGACCCTGGCGTAAGTTCTCCCGCCTCCTGCCCGGCCCCGCCCCAGGGTGCCAACCTCTTACCCTCCACCCGAGACCGGGGCCGCCGCGTACCTGCATCCTCCGGCGACGAATCAGGCCCGAATCGTCCATGGCGGCGGCGGCAGCGGCTTCGGCCCGGGGGAGGGAGGTGGAAGGCGGCGGCAGCGG